ATGTCCACCTCGGGTGTCCTCGACCACCATATACCGAATGTCTCTCAGGAGGTCATCCGAGTACGTCAGCAGAAACGGCACACCAAGCGGGTCCCTGAACCTCATCATCATCTCTCCACCTTGCTCGTATGTCATGCGACATACGGCCGGGACCCAACCAACAAGGGCGGAGCAACCATGCCTGCGGCGGATGTGAGCCATGTACCTCTTCTCACCATCGCCCTGCCCTTGCCCACCAAGACTCCCCTCAACCATGGACCACATCCCCTGGTCTGGCATGGAGTCGTAACCCATGCACACCATCTGACGGTCCTCCTCCCTTATCTTCTCCCAGCACCGCTTTGCATGCTCCACAACCAGCACGTGGTCCTTCACATCTGCATTTAAAATGGAGACACGTGTCACTACCACCAGGAACTACCACTGCTCCACTATGCCCTCATGCATCCACCCCAAGGGCAGCCAATGGCCTGTCTGCAGTTTCGCTGCCATGGTCACCTTGCCATCAACTGTTGCCGGCTGCAGACATCCTGGGACCCAATTCACACGATATCCATACTTCTGAGGGGCCACAAGCTGCTGCAACTGCCCCTCAGGGATGACATGGGCCGCAATGTCTATGGCAGCCAGAACGTTAGGGTTGAGGTTAAATGGGTCCCATACCAGCGTGGTTATTCCATCACCAGTAGCGTCCTCCCCTCTGGAATGCGTGTCTGTGTACCCATGGTCACCCGCGAACACTTTCCCCTCTGCCACCTGCAGTCTGCTCACAAATTGCCGCAAGGACCACTTCACAGTCTGTGGTGTTTGCTCCGGCCGATATCCCTTCGTTGCTGACAACTACGATACCCTTGACAATGTCCTGGGTCTCCATTGCGCATGTCTCCACGCCGTTGACATTCGATTCAATCGCACGCTGCATCTATTGCATGACACATCACATACATTTATTAGAAGCCCTAGCAGCGACGTGGCCCCCTCACTAGAGAGAGAGAGAGAGAGAGAGAGAGAGAGAGAGAGATTGGGACAGAGAGAGTGAGAGAGAGAGAGAGTGGGAGGAGAGAGAGAGAGAGAGAGAGAGAGAGAGAGAGAGGTTGACTACTGCGGGCCAAGACGAGAACAACCAGCAGCGGTGTGCACTTACATGGCCCGCAGTAATCAACGTCTCTCTCTCTCAGGCATACATACACTGCGTTAGAGGGCGGTTGGCTACTGCGGGCCGTTGGGACAACAACCAGCATCGGTACACACTGACATGGCACGCAGTAGTCAACCTCGCCCAGCTGGAAAAAAAAAAAAAATGTGGCACCGGCGCGAGGTTGACTACTGCGGGCCAGAACGAGAACAGCCAGCAGCGGTGCACACTTACATGGCCCGCAGTAGTCAACCTCGCCCATACAGGCAGACATACATTGCGTTAGAGGATGGTTGGCTACTACGGGTCATCGGGACAACAACTAGCATCGGTACACACTTACATGGCACGCAATAGTCAACCTCACCCAGCTGGAAAAACAGAAAAAAATGTGGCACCAGCGACAGGTTGACTACTGTGGGCCTGAACGAGAACAACCAGCAGCGGTGTACACTTACATGGTCCGCGGTAGTCAACCTCGCCCATACAGGCAAACCTACTCTGCGTTCCGGATGCAGTTGGCTACTGCAGGTCATTGGGACAACAACCAGCATCGGTACAGACTGAGATGGCACACGGTAGTCAACCTCACCCACCTGGGAAAACAGAAAAAAATGTGTAACCAGCGACAGGTTGACTACTGCGGGCCAGAATGAGAACTACCAGCAGCGGTGTACACTTACATGGCCCGCAGTAGTCAACCTCGCCCATACAGGCAAACATACACTGCGTTCCGGATGCAGTTGGCTACTGCGGGCCATTGGGACAACAACCAGCATCGGTACAGACTGACATGGCACGCAGTGGTCAACCTCACCCACCTGGGAAAACAGAAAAAAATGTGGCACCAGCGACAGGTTGACTACTGCGGGCCAGAACGAGAACAACCAGCAGCGCTGTACACTTACATGGCCCGCAGTAGTCAACCTCGCCCATACAGGCAAACATACACTGCGTTTCGGATGCAGTTGGCTACTGCGGGCCATTGGGACAACAACCAGCATCGGTACAGACTGACATGGCACGCAGTAGTCAACCTCACCCACCAAGGAAAACAGAAAAAAATGTGGCACCAGCGACAGGTTGACTACTGCGGGCCAGAACAAGAACAACCAGCAACGGTGTACACTTACATGGCCCGCAGTAGTCAACCTCGCCCATACAGGCAAACATACACTGCGTTTCGGATAAAGTTGGCTGCTCCCGGCCATTGGGACAACAACCAGCATCGGTACAGACTAACATGGCACGCAGTAGTCAGCCTCACCCACCTGGGAAAACAGAAAAAAATATGGCACCAGCGACAGGTTGAGTATTGTGGGCCAGAACGAGAACAACCAGCAGCGGTGTACACTTACATGGCCCGCAGTAGTCAACCTCGCCCATACAGGAAGAGATACACTGCGTTAGAGGGCGGTTGGCTACTGCGGGYCATCGGGACAACAACCAGCATCGGTACACACTGACATGGCACGCAGCAGTCAACCTCACCCAGCTGGAAAAACAGAAAAACATGTGGCACCAGCGACAGGTTGACTACTGCGGGCCAGAACAACAACAACCAGCAGCGGTGTACACTTACATGGCCCGCAGCAGTCAGCCTCGCGCAGACAGGCATACATACACTGGACTGACAGACAGGTTGGCTACTGCGGGCCAATGGGACAACAACCACCAATGGTACACACAGTCATGACACGCAGTAGTCAACCTCTTGCAGCTTGGAAAACAACACTCACACAATCGAGACGTTCACCAGTCAGCGATGCAACACGACGCCGAACGTGACATTCGAGACCAGAATTGGCCTACAAGGGGGACAACTTCGTGCTGTCGGACAGGTAGACATGCGCCGACAGAGGGCCATTCAGTGTTGCAGCCCACTAGCCAACCTCAAGTATGTGAAAACCAGACATAGGTACACACAGATAGAAACAGAGAGGGGGAGAGAGAGAGAGAGAGAGAGAGAGAGAGAGAAAGAGAGAGAGAGAGAGAGATCACGCTTCTCTGACGACCCGCGCTGCCACAATTTGACATCTTCTGTACAGAGTTTTCAAGCGCTCATGGATATCAAGTCCTTTCCTGCAATATTCACATTTTTTTTCCGCTCCATGATGGTCCGCGTTCAGTAACACCGGTCCCATTATCTCTTTGATATATGAAATTATATGGAAAAAACAGTCCGCGACCAGCCTGGCCATTTGTCGAGAGTTTGCGTCAACAACGAAATTTTCAAAAATTTGCGTCGTCATATGCAGTACGGAAAATTCTTGTCCGGCCGAAGGTGCTTTGCTGGCAAGCACGCTGGGGGAGTTGTGACGCACCTGGTGAGATTTTAGTGTGGCAACATCACTGCACGCCAACAGGACGTGTGGCGCAGGCGCATCCTTCCTATGAGCGGCCCCATTTCCCGAACACACTCCGATTGGTCTGTCAGCTTCTTCTCTTCCCTTCTTCGTTTCACCTTCTTCACATCCCATAACATCTCCTTCCATACATGTCACCGTCAGTTCTCCAGCCWACAACCTGCCTCGAGTGTGTTGCAGGGCATCCATTACGTCTTCGCAACTGCTCWGCAGAGACGCGATTTTTACAGGAAACTCGTCATTAACAGACCCGACACCCACTTCATTCAGACTGTACTCCTCGACGGTTTCCGTACAGTGGCGAATGCAGTCCTCGGCGACGGMTAARAGGTCAAYGACGCTGCGTGTCGTCGTAGGTAGCGAACCTGTGTTGTAATCTTGGCTATTGTACGATGCCCACCCCTCCTTCAACACACACTTTCCGCAGCTAGCAAGACRCATGACATCCCCTCCGWCTGACTCCCCGTTTGTKGTCTTCGTGACGTGGGCAGAGAACCGCTTCAAGACTCCGGTGCGCCTTTCCCTTTCAATATCCAGCCATGCCTGAAACTCGTCGAACGTGGTGTTCTTCGTTTCAGCAATTGCCTGAAGTCTGGCTGAAATGTCCTCCCTCAGACGAGTAACGTCTATATCTTCCATGTTGTCAAGCAACAACCAGAACACGGTGAACATCGTATGTTCCGCAGTTTCTGTCATTTCGTCGAGGAGCGACTTGAGGCGGCGTAGTTCGTCTGACATCTCTCTAAGTAGTACTTTCTGCTTATTCACCTCCTCTGTTAGCCTGCCTATATATTCTCGGTCGCTAGCTACAGTCCGACCCCTGTTTCGATCCGTTTCAGGTGTCTTATGGTCCTTGCCGCGTGGGGGAAGGAACTCATCCATCCTTGGATGACACTCTCCGCCCAGCTTTCTTTTCTGTCCGGTCGTGGTGAACCTTGACATCTGGAAAGCATTGTATATACAGAGAAATACGTGGACACAACAAGAGAGAGAGAAAGAGAGAGACAGAAAGGGAGCCTCACTGCTTCCGTACAATGGCGTCAACGGGGACCTACCAAACACTCTCTATGTGTTAATGTAATGTGGCAACACTAGTATTTACTACTCAACATCTGCGTCCCCCCCCGTACATGAGTCCATACATCACTGAACAACACGGCACAACTCCAACATGGCGGACCCTTATTTCGAAACGCAAGCGTCAGAACCAGGAATTAAGCAAGACATGAACGCCAGAACGCATGCAAGTAAACACATATAAAACGGCTGCGACAGAGACACAGAGAGAGAGCCCTTTTCCGAACCCAGAGATAGAGACAATCGCCACGAACAAAGAAACTGTTGGATGGTCCGCCATTCAGATGTTGACCGAAGTTCTGCGGGCCAAATATACACATATGCACATAGATGTGTGTGCCAGTGGCCCGCAGTAGTCAATCTCTCTCTCTCTCTCTCTCTCTCTCTCTCTCTCTCTCTCTCTCTCTCTCTCTCTCTCTCTC